TGCCGCGTTGATATCTGCATGTCTTTTACATAGTGCATCCACCATATCCAAGCAAATAATTTGTTTCCATAATGCACACGCAGAGAGAGGCTTTAAATAAATCTTCAGTTCTAAAGTGATTTTGGCAGAAGCGCGTTTCAAAAGGTTAGGTGAGTCATAATCCAAGCCAATCAGCAGGAAAGGGATGCTGAAGCCGTCCTCGGGGGAAATGTTCCACGGCTGTGCAGAAGAGCCAGTCGGGATGGTTTTGCCCCTCCAGGGTGAGAGATGGGAAGGATATTTTTTACATATACTAATATTTCCCCAGCCTGCTGATTTCCCACAGGTCCTGTTTGACTATGATTCTGACAGTGCTTTTATTGTTAGGAGAAGGATGTGCACGGTTCATAAGGGTAGATATTAGTAGAAAGGGTGGCGTATCCACAGGTTCACCCTGTCAGATACCAGGAAAGCCTAATGTGCCCCTCACTCCCACCCCAGATGTTTGGGGCAATGCTCTCCCAACATCCTCCATCCACAGTCATCTTCCATGCTCTCCAGCATGGAAGGGTGTGTGGGAATGACTTTGGAGGGGGGGGCAGAGAATCGAGGGGCAGCTCATTGGTTGTGTTTCCCATCTGGCCTACCTAGTAAGGCTGACATTATCAAGGCTGAAGCAAAAGTATGTGCATTGTAGTTAATCACATCTGGGTGTGCCAGGTTGTTTACAACAGTTGCAATGCCCTGCCGTCGTCATCTCTCTCATGGCTCCTGCTGTGTCTTTCCACTCCAAAACACACCAGAGCCTCTTCTTGGAGGGAGACATCTACTCCTTCCCACACTCTGGTGGGTATTACTTTGTAGGGTTTCTATAGTCCATGTTTGTTCAGGGAGACCAAAGTCCAATTTCTCTGCAAGCTCAGAGAGACACCAGAAGATCATTTCCTCATTCATGGAATACTGCAACCAATTTTGGTCACTATACTACAAAAAAAATGTTGAGAGTTTAGAAAAAAATCAGAGAAGAGCAACTAAAATGATCAAAGGCCTGGAGACGAAAATATACAAAGAACGGCTGCTCGACTTGAGTTTGGCTAGTCTAAAGAAAAGAAGAAACAGAGGTGACATGATAGCAGCATTCCAGTATTTGAGGAGCTGCCAGCGAAGAGGGGGTCAACTTATTCCCCAAAGCACCAGATGGCAGGACAAGAAACAGTTGTTGGAAACTGATCAAAGAGAGAAGCAACCTGGAATTAAGGAGAAACTTCCTGACAGTGAGGACAATTAACCAGGGGAACAGCTTGCCTCCAGACTTGAGGTTTTTAAGAAGAGGCTGGACAGTCACTTGTCTGAGATGATATAGGTTCTCCTGCTTGAGCGGGGAGCTGGACTAGAAGACCTCCAAGGACCCTTCCAGCTCTATTCTATTCACCGTTGGCCTTTATGGAGGGCACCAAACCAAACAGTCTGGCTACTTAATCAACCATCTCCTAACCAAGGATGGCTCTTTTAGACAGAGTGCAGGTAGTCCTTGACTTATGACCACAATTGAACCCAACATTCCTGTTGCTCACAAGATGGTTGTTAAGTGAGTTTTGCTCCAGTTTATGACCTTTCTTGCCACAGTTGTTGATGGAATCTCTGCGGTTGTTAAATTAGTTAAATAAGTGGACCTGGCTTCCCCATTGACTTTGCTCGTCAGCAAGTCACAAAAGGGGACCATGTAACCCTGGAACACTGCGACCGTCATAAAGATGAGTCAGTTGCCAAGCTTCTGAATTTTGATCACGTGACCCTGAGGGGATGCCGCAATGGTCGCAAATTGAAAAATGGTCATAAGTCACTTTTCTTCAATGCCGTTGTAGCTTTGAACGGTCACTAAATGAACTGTTGTAAGTCGAGGACTAGTTGTAGTGTTTCTTCAGGCATTCTGGAGAATCGGGCTGAGTGGTTGTGCTTTGGGGCATGGAGGCCTTTTATTTCTGGGACCTGAGGGAACCACGAGTGTGAGGAGGCATTCATTTCCTAAGCTCTCCTTCCTCGCCGGTTCAGCCTCCACCTGTCACAGCTAGAAAGGTAGTTATTGCCAGAAGCATCAGGAAGGTGAGCACTTCCTCTCCAGATGACAGCTGAAATACCTGCTTGGCCTGCAAAATGGCATCTTGTCTAGAAAACTCTTCAAGCAAAGCAGATCCGGGAGTCCAACCTAACGGAACCCTTTCAACGGTCCCAGGCCTGCTTCGCTTTGTTTTCTAGAGAAAAGGAACAGGCCAGATTCCAATTAAACAACTCTGGGTCACTTTCAATTTTACATTTTCACAAATGGTTGCAATTTGCCTTGGATACCATTTTAAAACTGCCTGGGGAATTCTGGGAATTGAAGTCCACGCGACTTAAAGTTGCCAAGGTTGAGAAACACTGATGAAAGGTATTTGGGGTAACTTGAAAACTCCCCCCACTCTTTTGTGACATTACATTTAATAAATCTGCACAAGTTTGGGGATATTTTTTTCTTAGAGCCCAACAGACTTTTTAAGTGCCTCTGAGGAACTCATGAGAGGGACATGAAATTTGCTGTTTGTTCCTTGAATCAGAAAACTCTGGAATACTCTGGATTTGGGAACATTCTTTATAAGCTTCGGTGACTTGTGATAACATGAAAATACTGCTTCCTCCCTTACAGGAATCTGCTAAGGGCAAATGCAGCCTTGGGGCAAAGTCAGCTCCTAGACACGTCCATGTGATTTCCTTGGCCACGTTGTTCTCCAACTTCCAAGTTTTGCTTACAATTGAAGGGATTCTGGGGAGCTTCCCCCAAGTTCTATCTAAGCCTGGTCCTGGATTCGCTTTCTGAGAGCAGCCAAGGTCAGCAACTTACTCTCACAGAACATAGAATAACAGAGTTGGAAGGGGCCTTGAAGGGCTTCTAGTCCAACCCTCTGCTCAAGTAGGAGACCCTATACCACGGGTGTCAAACTCGCCACGTCACGTGACGTGTCGCGATGTATTGTGACTTTTTTCCCATTGCCGGCAATGGGGTGGGTGTGGTTTTGGCGTGACGCATCTGGCCTGGGGCCCAGCAGTTTGACACCCCTGCCCTATACTATTTTAGACACAGGGCTGTCAAGTCTTTTCTTAAAAGCCTCCAGTGATGGGAGCAGCTACAACTTCTGGAGGCAAGTCATTCCACTGATTAATTGTTCTAATCGTCAGGAAATTCCTCCTTAGTTCTAGGTTGCTTCTCTCCTTGATTAGTTTCCATCCATTGCTTCTTGTCTTCCCTTCAGGTGCTTTGGAGAATAGCTTGACCCCTTCTTCTCTGTGACAGCCCCTCAAATACTGGAACACTGATATCATGTCACTCCTGGTCCTTTCTTTCATTATAGACATACCCAATTCCCGTAACTGTTTTTTGTATGTTTTAGTCTCCAGCCCTCTCATCTCAGCTGCTAGTATGTCCTTGGTGGTATTAATTTTACTGCCAGAGTCTTGGGGTGCATCTAGTGCCAAGACAGACAACAAAATCCAAATGTCAAATGTGCTCCACGAAGCCAAGCCTAAAATGATTTCTCCATAGCAGGAGTTGACCACTGGGGTTGGGAGCCCTTTGCCCTCCTCTTGCTGCCACTCACTGAAAAGCCCTGTGAGGCCTCAGGGTTTTTCAAGGATCCCTTTCCTCAACTGAAGCCTCCTTTTCTTCTCCTATAGATGTACAAGACTTTTTGTCTCACCATTTGCGCCTTCCTCTTTAATTGGGAAGCCATCGGCCTCAGGACCTCAGCTCCTGCTCTGCATGCCCCGCTCTTCCAGGCTCTTCCTGGCTCCAGAATCCTGGGCTCTTAAAGGCAGGCCTGCCCCTGCACCTTGCTGTGTTGGGCAACTGGTTTGCTCATGGCTTGGCAGGGTAGAAGCAACTGGGGGAGCTGGGAAACAATATGCAGATGTGGTGCTGTTGCTAAACATGTGCCAATCCCTTCCTTCACCTCCATGTATCAACAGCCACACAAATCTTGACCCAGGGAAAGGAGAGGCTGGCTGGGGACACTGTGGCTCTCCTGCCACACCCCGGGCTGATTTTCCACCATTTGATGGATCTTCCTTGGGACACAGGCGGGACAAAGAGGCCCCGGAGCAGCTTCTCCACTTGGGGACTTCTGCTCGCTGTAGCAGCCTTGGCTGAATCTTCTCTGGCCAGGGCTGCCCTTCGCTTTTCCAGTCCGTGGGCGTCTTTGCCCGAGGCGCCACTGGACCTTTACCTGTTGGTTAAGTCTTGCGGGAGGCCCCTGACCCGTCCCTGCCAACCACAGAAGCCGCGCAGGGGGTGTTCGGACTTGGGCAGATGGCAGCCAGCAGCACCAGTCTGAATGGGCGGCAGCTCCGCTGGGGGGGATCCCGCTTTGGGGAAGGGATGGCGTGGGCTGGACTCCTGGCGAGAAAGTCCCGGGGGATTAGCAGCCTCCCTCCTTCGGCGCCGCCGGCTCTTCCCCTGCCAGTTTCCCCGGTAGCCCAGGCCAGGCAGCGGGACTGCTCTGCCCGCCCGGCGCCCCTTCCCCAGCGACAAAGCCCGAGCCGGGCAGGCGGAGGGGCGGGGAGGGGCGGGAGGGGCGGGGCGGCGGCTCCAGGCTGGGGCCGGGCGGGAGCTGTCCGTTTCAGCACCCTCCGGCCGGGAGCGCTCCTCGCCCGCCGCCTGCGCAGGGCTCCCGGGGCCGGCCGGCTGCTGGCGCAGGAGGGGCTGCCGTGACGGGCTTCCTGCCTCCCTCCTCCCGCCGGCCGCGCCGCCGCCGCCGCCGCCGCCTCCCTTCGCCGCCTGCTGCTCGGGCGGGCTGGCGCTGGCTCCGGCACACGCAGACCGCGCGCCGCGCTCGCCGGAGCCCTCCTCGCCTTCCCTGCCGCCGCCGCCGCCGAGCTCGCCCGGGGATGGNGGCTGGCCGGCGCGGCGCCTGCTCGGGGCTGAGCGCAGCCTGGCTCGGCCGGCCGGCTGGCCGCTGCCCGCCCGCCCGCCCGCGGGGCCATGCGCGGCGATGAGGATGTGTGAGCGCGGCGTCCAGATGCTGATCACCACCCTGGGCGCCTTCGCCGCCTTCAGCCTCATGACCATCGCGGTGGGCACCGACTACTGGCTCTACTCCCGCGGCGTCTGCAGGACCAAGTCCAGCAGCGACAACGACACCAGCCGGAAGAACGAGGAAGTCCTGACGCACTCGGGCTTGTGGCGGACCTGCTGCCTGGAAGGTAGGCATGCGGGCGGCGCGGCTCGGGCGAGGGGAGCCGGGCGGGACAGGCCGCCGCTTCCTGGCCTCCTCCGGCCGCCTGGCGTGGCGCTCCCGGGCGCCCTCCCCCGCGGAGCCAGAAGCGGAGAAGGCGCTCCTGACCGGGCTGCACCTGTTGCCCCCGCGCGCGTGTCCGGCCGAAACCAGCCCGAACCCCCGAGACGGAGGCTGCCTATCGGGCTGCGGACAAGACTTGCTGTATGGTGTAGGGGGGGGGGGGGCTCGCAGCCTCTGCAGCCGCGGGGAGGGAGGGCAGCGGACGCGCTTAGCCTCTCTCCTGGCTCCTGGGCAGCTCCCCCTTCGTGCCAGTCTGCTGCGGGAGAGAGTTACAAAGGGGCAAATGCAGTGAGCCAGAGATCCTTCCTTCTTTCTTTCTTTCCTTCCTTCCTTCCTTCCTTCCTTCCTTCCTTCCTTCCTTCCCCCAGTCCTCCCCATAGGCGTCTCCTATCTGCGGGAAAGGCAGGGATTCCTTTATCTGTATGTTAGCTACTTGAAATCTCACAGTCCAAACAGCTACACGCAAACAGGCACCACACACACACACAACAGGCAGAGTGCGTGAAGAGGTGGAGCAGCAGGTTTGCAGGTCTGAAGCAAGACCCTCGTGGCAGCTTGGTGCCTCCCTGGCAAAGCAGGTTGCAGTCTTTTGTTTTAGGGTTCCTCGGAAGGAAGGCTGCTGTGAGCCAGACAGCCTCAACTTCCCCAAAGCTGAGCCTTGAAACATGCTTGTCCAGGTGCGTGTACAATATGTGTGTGCATGCCTGTGTGTGTACATCCCCCTCTGGGAAGCAGTCCTGCCTCTGCCCACTGGCCTTCCAAACCCTCCAGACAGAGGAGGTGATGCATCTAGATTCAGAAGGAATCAGGGTGGGAGAAGAGGGCTGCTTTTTCCCACAGGCTCTTATGGAGGCAGCCCCCTCCCCATGGGCCACCACCACATGGCTCAGAGACCACTGGACTCTGTTTCCAGTGAAACAGAACCTTCCAACCATCTTTACAAGTGGCTCCTGTTCCAAGAGAGGAATGTTTGGGCAGGGGGAGGCACTCAGCCCAAAGACAGCCAAGGAAGCACAATAGGAGACTAGCTGGGGAGACACGGAGGCGAGATGACAGTCCCTCGTGCCTGGCCAAAGCATGAAAGTCCATGGGCAGCTTTAGAGAACCAGCTGAGTATCAAACCTGCTGTAGAGGTGCATTAGATCCTTCAGCACATCCAGAGAGTGAGTGACGATGAGAATGGCTCCCATTGAGTTAGAGGTAATTCCACTTGTCGCTTTCTTTCTTAACAGAGTCTTTAAATAGAATCTGTCTACCTCACTTGGGCCTCACATTGTGTTCAGCTGCTTCTCCCCCCACCTGTCCCACCTGGGGGGGAGGTTTTGGATAGTTCAGTCATTCAATTGCTTCCAAGTCTTTGTGACCCAAAGCATCATTTCTTCAAGATTGTCCATCCACAACTACTTCTTAGAGTTCTTGAAAGCTCCTGCTCCCCCATCCGTCATAATATCAGCCACCTGGCCTTCACTTGGCCTCTTCCATTTTTCTAAGCATCAGAGTCTTTTGTGATTCTCGCCTTCACACGATGTGTCCAAATATTTCAGCTTTAGCATCATTATTCCTTCTTCTGGTGAGCAGTGAGATTTTATTTCGCCATCTGGTATTGACTTGCTTGCTCTTCTAGTGATCCAACATATTCCCGACTATTTCTCCAGAACCACAGTTCAAAGGATCGGTTTTCTTTGTTTGGCTTTTCTCATGATCCAGCTACAGACCCATATGTTACAACAGGGGAAACTGCAGCCCTGACGATATACTGACAGTGTGATGTCTCCACTGTTCCATATTTGATCTAGATCTATTGTAGTTTTTCTCACAAATATCAATGTCTCTTTATCGGTGCTATAGTCAGCATCACAGTACATTTTTGTGCCTGGAGAGATAAAATGTGTGATCATTCTGCCTTTTTGAATTGGCATGATGCTCCCCCCTCCCATTAACGTTGAGCAGGAAAGTCTGGCTTTTGCACTCTCTTCATCTGCAAAAAAAATCCTCTTCCCCTCCACTAGTCATCAGCCTATCTGTGATTGTTGTGGTTTCTCACAACCAAAATCAACTTCAATTGCTTCCAGCCCAACATTTCTCATGCTTTATTCTGCTTATCTTTATGTGCAACCTAGACACATCCTTTTCGCAACTTCGGGCGGTTTAGTTATTCTGCATTTCATTCTAACTGTTGCTTCCTGGGCTATGATTCCCTTGCCGTCCCCATGACTCCACAGCTTTAGCCACGGGGCTTCAGGTACCCCTGTCCCTTCTGAACAAGGCTTGAACATCTGGCAATTTTCATTTTGTATATTGCTGAAGTTTGAGTTGCAAAATCTTGAGCATTATATTACTAGAATGGGAGGTAAGTGTGTTTCCCTTTTCACGCTTTGGAATTGAAGTGGATCTCTACTGATCCCTTGGGCACAGCTGCGTTTTTCATACCCGCTTACAAACAACATTTATTACTGCAAGCCCTAAACCTCCCTGCACCACAGTCATCGTGAGATCACCAGTACATCTCTTTCTACCTAAGCGGCTTTGCATCACACCTGCTGCACCAGCTATAACACAGCCCTGGGTCTCATTTGGCAAGAGGCAGGAGGGAGGAGGGAGGCATCTCTGTTGCCTGAATCCAAAGCAAAGGCCTCCAGGCTGAGCACCGGGTGAGATGGGCCAGGCAGTTGGATGGGAACTTTTGTCTGCTTCCAACGGCTGTTTCTTGGGGCCACCAGGCACCGTCTGCCTCTGTCTTGGCTGCGAGGGGCTCCTGGCTGTTTCGCTAGTCTCCATGTTGGGCACTTTGTAATGGGGAATAATCCTGTTCCAGAGAAAGGCTTGTCTGCCTGCAAGGGAGGGGAGAGGGGGCTGAAAAGAGCCAGCCAAATTGAGCCATGAATGAGAATGTGGGAACGCAGCCTTGTTTGTGCATGTGGCTGGAATGACTTTATGGACAGCACTGCAGATATGCTCAGAGACCGTGTCATTTGGGAAGCCAGCTGTTGATCGGCCAAGTAGGCACTTGCTTATGGCTGGGAACAAATCTCCTCTCGCACGGGGCCTGCTGGAGACAGGGCTGGTCCGTCAGAAGGATCGTTAGAAGACCGGAAGGGGTGACTTTGTGGAGGAAACCAAGGGCCTTCCTGGTGAAATGGGTGGGAGCAGGTGCTCGGGGGGGGGGGTTGTGGGCGCTGAAGAGCTCTCTGCACTGGGAATTCTGTTTCCAAGCTATGAATGGCGCTCTGTGCAATTATGCCTAGACTGTTTCCAAAGAGCCCAGCCCTGAGAAGGCAACGTGCCAACAGAGGAGGTTCAAGGGTTAGAGCTACTCAGAGGAGAACAAGGAACAGTGGAACAAGGGCTACCAGATTGGAGGGAGGGGCAGAAATCTGAGCCACTAGTAAATAGCGGGAAGGAGAGACAGGAAAACCTAGCTGTGCTGTTGACTAGTGAACGGCTGCCATTTTGCAGCCTGGTGTGTAGGAGGCTCCCCAGGGAAGCAGATAGGAGCATCCAGAGGAAGTCCGAACGGTGCCTTAACCCAGGGCAGCTTTGGCTCTGATTGGTTGATTAGATTTTTATCCTGCCTTTATTGCTTTAGAAGTAACTGAAGGTGGTGAACATACCTAATACTCCTTCCTCCTCTTATTCCCCCCCCCCCCACACAACAGTCCTGTGAAGTGGGTTGGCCTGAAAGAGAGTAACCGGCCCAAAGCTGGCTTTCATGCCTGAGGCAGGACTAGAACTCAACACTTCCTGCATTCGAGGCCAGCAACTTCACCACGAGACCAAACTGGTTCTCTTACTTGTCTCCCTTCCGCTTGCCCAAAGGTTGGGTGGAGACTAAAAATAATGTTTTGTACATGTTCTTAATTAAAAGTAAACATAATGAAAGGGGGTTCATCTCTCATGTTCCCACATTTACCTCATCTGTTCAGTCCTGACATTTAGGAACCACTTTCAGGTGTTCCCCAGAGCAGTGCCCAACGCTTCCGCCTCAGGTCTGTCAGCTCTCCCTAACCGGACTCTGCCCCAGCCTTCCCAATTACCCGTCCGAAGGCTTGAAAGAGAAGGGCAGGGCAGGCAATCACCATCAATCCCACTACATGATTTCCCGGCCACGTTGGCCTGCCGGGGGTCTCTGCCAGGGACCAGCAGCCGCCTTAAGGTGGGCACTGCAGCCTCTGCAGGCCGCTGGCGTCCCAGCCAGGCTCAGGAGCTTGTTCTGCAGACAAGGATATCGGTCCAGCATTGGGCAAGCTGGGTGGTGCTTCTTCTATTGTGGGCTGTAACAGGGTTGCCAACTTTTGAGGCAGCCTCTGCAGCTGTGCTCTGAAGAATGATTCTTGCCAAGCAGACAGCTGGAAAGGGCAGGTGAGGACGTGCAAAGGCCAGTTGCCAACAGGGCAGGGGTCTGTTGCAAGATGTGGCACCCCCTCCCCTTGTTCTCTGCCTCAGAAACCAGCTTGTTTTGTGGCCTGTTCACTGAGCCAATCCTTGGAAAGCCATGTTTGCCTCCAGCGAAATGAAGAAAGCAGGGCAGCGGTACTGCTGGAAGGATGAGAGAGAGCAAGGGGGAGCTGGGAACTGGCCAGGATTTTGCACGGCTCACCTGAGCTTCCATAAACAAGCCGGGATGGTGCTGGGACCCAGAGCCTCCCCAGCAGGCAGGCAAGCAGGTGGAGGTGTAGCTCCCTGCAGCTGGCATTTGCCCCTGCTCATTCCTAAGATGGGCCAGAGGAAGGGGGCTTTGCCACAGGTTTTTTCCCAATGAGGTTTCATCAAGTACCACTGCTGCTCTGCAGAGATCTATGAACAATTGCTGGCTGTGAGAGCCAGGCATAGCCTCCTTAAACAACAAGGGTATACCTGGGAATATTGTGCCACAGGGTCCAGTACATGCTGGACACATCCCTTTTC